CGTTATTGTAGCAGCTTTTCTATTTGCATATCCGTCTGTTTCTTTAAGATCATCCCTTCGCCTTTATCGAGGCATCTATTAGTCTTGTTTTTGTGATTCATTTAGTAGCATCGTATATTATTCTGACTGCATTATTAATAACGTTGGGTATGCTAATATAGCTTCAAGTATAGAAGTTAATAATTGATAAATGTTTTTATCGTTTAGTTGGACAAAGAAACAAGAATACGACACTTTCAAAAACTACCTGTCATAACTAAAGAGACAAACAGTGGTGAAATGGGAGGCTGAGAATTAATGAAAACAGAATCTTTTTTCTGAATCACGAAGCAATGGAATTCCCAAAGTTAATATCTACTTTTTATTGTTCCTTAAGAATAAACGAAAGACTAATTTCCTTATTTTAAACATAGCAAAAGCAGTAATTAAAACATTTTGTAAATTTTTCAGACGTTATTCACCTCAAAATTCAAATGAGATTCTTGGCTTTTAAGGTCAGCTATCTTTCGTGGTTTTATATTGGCACTGACTGAAATCTCTAATACGTCGTCAATTGGTTACATATTCTACAGTGTTACTATCGAAGGAAATATTATTTTACGGAAATATTCTACTCTCGAAGGATCCCTTATAAGCTTGAATATGTGAGAGACTAACATTCCATACAATGGATGAGTTGCATAACCAGGAGAAATAACTCTCTCCCTTCAGTAACTTTCAACTAAGGTTGTATTGAGACTTGTTGTTATACTGAATAAATATCTACAAAGATAATAATAAACTTCAGTCTCTAAATATAAAATAAATAACTGATCAATGATATTCTTATCAAAGATACATTTGAGACGAAGTAACTGTTTAGAGGTTAAGTATATTTTATGGCGATCTGTGCTTTAAGTATTCAGTACGGTAACTGTTCTCTCGAAAGACCTTTGTGTAGAAGACAAGAGGAAAAGTTTCTAGTGAAGCAAAACGAATAATTTGTTCTATCTATATTGCACTGATGCATGTGTCTTCGATTGTTGGTGATCATACTAGTCATTTGATATCTTTAGCAAGTTAATTAAAACGAAAGTTACAATTATAACCAAGTTTTTGTGAACCATAAAAATGCAAAATCTCTCATCCGCCATTTTTATCCATTTTCAGCACTTTATCAACTTTGTCGGTCTTAACGGGAAAAAGGATTATAAGTTCTCGTTTTGCGAGTAATATGGTGTGCCGACTGACTTCTCAGACAGCAGCTAAGGAGATAGTTCGTTGTAGTGAACGAAAACTTAACAGTTAGTTGTCTATTGCTTAGTTTTTTCACATGGAAATCTCTAGTACACTCAAGTTAATCATTTTATTGAAATCCCGGTTTCATGTTTTTAAAACGTTTTACTCACAAGAACGGGAGTCAGGACCACTAACTAAATCTGCCCGTTAGTCAATGACTAGTTCCTGAAGCATGAAAACTTGGGTGTTGATAATACCATTACAACCGATCATCACAGGTTCTGAAGTAATTGAACTTAATTAACAACAGCCTCAGCATTACAGCTTTCATCTATTAGCCTGAGTTTCTTATCATTAGTTGAAACTATGTTTACTTACCAAAATGAGTTTATTTTGTTTCGCTATAGTTTGTTATTAGCTCTAAGTAACTAGGATAAATAAATGGAATTGCTGAAATATGGAATATTGAGATAACAGTTCATGTTTACAAAGTGAAGATTTGGAATGCATAAAGATCGATAAAAGGAGTTTATTCAGCCAAATAAGAAAAGATTAGGATTACCGAGAAAGGTCATGTGAGAAGTTATCTGGACTATCAATGATAAATGGAAAATTGGCATAAGATAGGAAATAAATAAATCAGTGAGAAATACAAGAGGACAGAAGAATACAGGACGTGAGTTTTTGGTAATGCTCAATGTGAGAAAATAGTTGACATACAGCTCACTTTGCGTGATGTTTGTGACAAATTAGCGCCTACTTTGAAGCTTTAGACATCACTAGTTGAAGTTTGATTCAACTCATCTGATTTAGTGTCCTAAATGTTTGACTGGGGTGAGCTGCTCAAATATTCAATCATATATCTGTTGTTGTTTTGTTTCGATGTAAGTTTCATAGTCTGTTTGTATGAGCTGATAAATACAACTGCAATTTCATACATCTGTAATAACTGATGTCATTTTTCGGCTGTTATTATTTGAAGGAAAGCTATGAAGTAAAACGTAAGCTTTGTTTGTCTTGCAAATATATTAGTTCTTTATTTTTGCAAACAGTTGAGTCTATCCTCCTGGTAGGTAGAGATAAAATTATCAAACACATCGTTTGATTTAAGTGAAGTGGCTTTCAGTGTAGACAAATCCTACGTTATTCGCTTATTGTATTATTTTATAGGTCTACAGTTATGAGCTGACCAACCCTTTTTAGTATTGAGGCTGTTCACCTTCTGCAGTTATATACATGAGACAGATTAGCAGTGACATCCAGAAACTGCAACGCGTTCGCCTAATGACTCATCATTTAAATGCATGTACTGTCGTTCAGGTATTTTCACGGTGAGACTTGAAAGCATTACTTAGTGTCAGAAAAATAAAACTGTCTACCCCTAGGTCAATGAGTCATTAGGATTATAACCTGTAACAACTGATCGTCTCATTTTTCTTTAGTAAAAGCAGGTGTTATAAAGACCTATTAAGAAATGGCACAATGTCACAGACCCAGTTAAGCGAAACTCATTTGAATGAGTTTTTAGTAGCTTGAAAAACATTTCATCCAAATGGTCTAAATTATTCTACACTTCGAAACCAACAAGACTTTCTAAGCACTCTGAGATCATTTTAAACAATTTTATTATGATCCATTCTGACTTGGCACTCAAATTGCTCCAGGGAATCCGCAACATCCAGCCACATAAAGTTGATGTGGAATGCACAACTCACAAGCATATCTTTTACCTGCAGAAGGTAACTTGATCTGCCCGATAAGCCACAGAATCTGCAGCTGTGACACCATGGTAAAGGAGCTGACCACTCTCAAAAAGAAATCTCACTGAACATGGACATCCTGCACCCTTCGTTACAAAATCCATGAAGCCCACACTACCAAAACAATACATTTTTATGTCCAATGGAAACTCTTCGGCGAAATACTAAAAGACTGTTTATCCCGTTAACTACATAAAGCCTTCACACCTAGACTTTGACTTACTTTCTCTACAAAACCAGTAATGCGTGTGAACCTGAAGGATAAGCTACAGGTGCTAGTTTCATCAATATGTGTTTATTAGTTCAACTGCTTCTGAAGAGCTAGAGATGTAATTGTTTGTTATCCAAACCCATTGTCGAACGCTTACCCACATGTTTCTACAAAAGAGAAAAACATCCCCGCGCAGTTCTATTCTCAAACACCTGATCGATTCTGGACATCAAATGAATTGGCAAACCAACTACAGAATTATCTACAGAGTATGTGGAAATCTTGCCGAAGAAGTATGAATCAAACTTCTTTAAATCCTAGAAGTTTTGGCGATCCATTTGTTACTTCCTGAACTCTGTATTCGGAAGTTATTTCAGTCACTGAACCTAAAATAGACCTAATTTTTCTCATCACATTGTGTGTAACTTTCGTTAGTTCTAATTCATTTTTAATTTCAGTATTTTTGTTCCCTCACATCACTACATTTCTATTCCTTATAACACTAATCTTAACTTGACCCTCTTTCAATTTTATTTGAGTAATACTCATCCCTGTCAGTTATGTTACGTTACTCAATTTGTTTATCAATGTTTATTTTAGTTCCTGTCCGACTAATGCTATCGGTATTACTTAATGGCTATCTAAAACTTACAATTTTAATGATACATCTTTGGAACCATTCTTTTTATTGCTTTGAAAATGTAGTATATATATATATATATATATATATGCCAATGTCCAATTTAAGAATGATATCGCTGAAGGACGTAACTCACTGTTGAGCGTCCTTTTTTACAATTCGGATATTCATAAACTTACAAGACTTTTACCTTCTGAAATTACTCCTCTTAGATCTCGTAAATCTACTACATATTTAGAGATAATTGATTTTAAAACGTATACTCTGAAAACATTGATGATTGACGCAGTCAACAGTTATACCTACATAATAAGTGTGTGTTTAATTCTCTTGTTATGCCTTTTTATTAAAGATTCTTTTTATTTGGTGAAATTTAACACGTGCTCTTGGTTGTAATCACATGTTTTGTGTGACTAAGTTTCCGTCCCCTGCACTCACTAATCTTGATATTACAAGAAATAAATATACAGCCCTAAGATGCATAAGTTATGGGCCCTATAGATTTTTCTTTAAAATCTTCTTGCTGATGACAACCAAACTGAAGATGTTACTGAGTGTTTAAATTATTCTAATTATGCGATTTGAAATATATTCCAGTGACAACTTCATTCGCAATATGTTGACTATTATTTTATTCAATTTTTATTTAGGCTTGCTTTTCTCTTGATCATTTGTTATTTTCTGCAATTCTTTTTGTTTGTATCATTGCCTGACAGAGTGTTCTTTCTACACTTAGGTAAAACGGACCAGAGGTAATCGGGGCACCTGTATACTATTCATAGTCAACCAGATTGTGATAACCTCTTGTTTAATGCTTCTGTATCAAGATAGTATTGTCAGCGTAGATTCTTAGGTCCTTATGGTCTTTGTCGATTTCTTCTCAACAGACTCAAATGTTAGATTACGCATTTAAAGTAGAAGTGTCATTTATTATCTCACTTGAGAGTCGCGTAGTGTTGATCATAAGTGGTGGAATAAATAAGTTTAATTCCATAAAGTCTTGAATACCTGAAGTTTAAGCTGTTGTAGACGAGTGCAAAACTTCCTTTCTCGGTTCCGCTAACATCTTGTGGTAAAACTAACTGAGAGATAGAATTCCAATTATTTGCTAGAATTTAGTTTGATTTAAAAAATCTTCCTACTGTATTTTACTTCCATTTCAACTTTTCAGACAGTTACGACAAGAAATGATTGACAGACAGAAAGTTCGAATAAAGAATTCTGAATCTATTGGCGAAGGTCGGTGTAATAATTGCAATGCTCTATTTGTCCCCATTTTACAACCGGCTACTCAGTGTGTCAATTGTCAAGGACAGTTTTGTCGTACATGTACAGAAAAACTTCCTAACACAAATATTGTGATGTGCAAATTTTGTCGATTTGAAACGTAAGTAGCTTTTCTTTATAGTTTTTATCTTTTTAAATTACAATTTCTTTTTATCCACTTTAATTTCATATTTAAATTCTGTATTTACTGGTGTCATAAAAGCTGGTTTTTGTATTCATTTATATTGTCTGGTTTTGTGGCAAAAAAGGCTTTTGTAGCATGCTTAAGACAGACTAAGTTTCCTCTTAGAAGATTCGCTGCGCCTGCCTGTGAACCAATTGTTAGTGACATCTAGGGTAAACCCGCTGCCTGCCGTATAAGCCAGTGCTTCTTGTTCCTCAGGGTCTTTTCACAGTTTCACTGGGTTATAAAATATATTTTACATTATGTTTAAAAGTATCTGTACCAACCTCTCGGTCATCAGTCAAGAAGTGGAGACTAAAGCTGATAAAGACAGTTTGTAGCTGACGATTATTTGATCTTTGAACTTTCATAGTCATCATACACAATATCAATACATAAAAGTGTTGAAAAACCTAAGCTTTTTGAGTCTTTTCACATTCTTTTAAAATACCTTATTTGTTATACTCAAAGACAACATAGAACAGTATTGCTTTTAGCTCCTTTCTAGGTTTTCCTGTAATATGTACAGAATTGTATTAAATAAAATTTTAACCAGTCACAGTAGATTTGTAGGTCAGTGATAAATGTTAAATATTATAAATTAAATATAGGCCATAATGATACCCTACCACAATGCTCACATCCTATTTTTACGCCAAAGAAACTTATGATCTTCCTACAAACTCATGTAACTTTGTCATACTGAAGTAGGATTCACAAATCACTGAGTTTACAACTTGAAAACACTTGATTTGATTTCGTAATACATACTCCGAGTATCTAGTTCAGTTTTAGAGATGCAATGTTGTTTGTTGAGTAAATATTCTAGATTATCATACTGCCATCAGTTTCTATCATTTAAAATGAAGTAATTATACCCTAGTCTATTCAAACTTCTGGAAGCTACAAAAGACCAATGCTGACAAAACGCGACAACTAATTCCGTCTGATTCCATATTAACGATAGAGATGATGTCCAACTAATGCTTTTCATTAAAAGTCACTGACGAGTACCACCATCACATTTTCCGAAGAGGGACAAAACAAGGCATATATACTTTCCGAATAACTGTCCACCGTCCTGAAGGTAGTGTAACACTTTTGGTAGCATGAGGTTACAACACTCAAGAAAGGAGAAACACTTCTAATAAATCTCAGCATCACTTATTGCCGATAAAAGCTTAGCATGCTTCAAATCACCACATAACGCCAATTATTCAGTTTTACACCCTGTTGGAAAGTTCTTTTCCTATCCTATTAACAGCGTAGTATACTTTCCAGCCATCAGCTTGATACCAAGCTTTGTAGCTATAAAATATTGATATAAAGAGATGTAGATGATTTAGAATTTGAGTGTTGCTAGTTTCACTGGTTGGTTTAATGGGGTAAATATCTGTTTTAGTTTCGTGGAAGTAAGCTGCTTGAGAACTTTTTATTGAGACTGCATTTCAGTAGTTTACTTAGCATGCAGTTGAAATGGTTGACTTGTCTGTAGACTTTCATTCTGATTTTGAACATTGTGTTTAGTTTTCAGTACCCAACAAAACATTACTATTACTGTTATTACATCACAAAATGTCTAGTTGGCTGTAATATAGAAACGATGATATTTATTTAGGCAGAATTGTCTTCCCTGCTAGTCACTCGAAGGTAAACTCCATAGAGAAACCTATTTTACCCACGGAAAAAGGGGATATATATATATATATATATGGACAATATGAAGAGATAGGCAGCAGTGTAAATTAATTTAATGCGGGATAAAACCAGTTTTGTTAATTATAGAACACAGAAGAAAGTTGTTAAGTATCTCCTCGTCTTATTTGTGTCCTGTTAACTGTTCATGCTTAGTATTAACATAAAACGGCAATAGCTTGATGGGTATGATTTATATAAATGCACATAGATTCACGCGCAAAGTGGTGATTTTGGGTCAAATCTAAGACGCACTTGGAAAATCTGTCATATGACGACAGTGGTCATAACTAATTGTACTGCAGTACAATTTTATCATAATAATTATTGTTTCTGAACAACTTAATTAGAAAATAAACAGAATCATGGAAAAGTTGTGAACTAAGTTTTGAGTGTACTTTATCTACGTAATAGTTCATCGATTTTTGTTCACTCATTTAGTTGTAATGCTTTTAATAAATAAAGCTAGGATCGAGAAAATGAGGGCATTTGTCTTATTAATTTTACTATTATTGTTATTACTATTCTGCGCTTCCTCTTAATTCTATTACGAGTTAATTTTTCTTAAAAGTCAGTTGATAACAGTACCTAATTAAAAATATCATAGGAAAATATTTAATGAATCAACTCTGTAGCGGAGAACCGATTCCATGTATAGCACCAATCGGACAGATATGAGTTGCATTATTCCAACACACAGCAATACACATTCTTCAAAATGTTGTCCTTATCGCACATTTTTATGAAGATGTAGTCATTAAGAAGACCTCGTATAATGTAACATCTAAATAGAGATTATATTCTTCTATGATATTGTCCTTTCAGCAAATATTTCAATTGAAATGAACAGAGACAACACCTCTCTCTAGGTTTAGACTATAAAACGAATAAGTGTCATTGTAAAAAGTTAGTTCAGCAAAACACTATTAATAAAATATACTCCTCGGAAATATTTAGAAATATACGATTTGCAATGAGCCAAGCGTGTGTATCATTTAATCAGGATGCATCACTACTAAACATCCACCCTGTGTGTCTACTTTCATTTTCAATCATTGTTTACACAGTGTCATTGCTTTTAATATGAGCCTAACTGAATGAATGCATCAGGTTGTGAACTACTTATAAACTCATCAACCATGTATATCTGATTTGAAAATGAATGTTTCCTAGTAAATTGCATTCACGTCTTGTTGGTTGGTTGTTTGTATGTTTCTCAAGTATTTAATCGTATTACAGGTAATCACTTTTGTTGATTGTTGCCTAACGCCATTACTTAATCGGCGTGCGTTGATTAACTCCATTTACAAGTGTTGGTTTGTATGGATTTGACTGATTTCAAGTTAGACCATAAACTGACCTCAGTTCAAGAGCCACCGGAAACCACAGGATCCCGGACAGCTGTTTTTCCCAAGTTTTCGACTCTTCAGCAGTACAAATCCATAACACTCCAGATCACGAGGCAAGCCTACTGACCATTCAGCTAACGGGGTGGAATTCAATGATGCATGAATTCCACCTGATGTCAGTTTATGGTCAGACTTGTATTCCATTTCATTATTTTCAAGTGAAAAAGACCAGAGCTACTTCAAGCTACTTAGAACTGAAACTCACGGAAGTTGTCACTAAGGCAACCATTCATAGTGACTCGGAAACCAACATTTTAAAACCACTTAAGATAAGTAAAATACAAGTTATTTCCCGTCTACTACGAATCGTTGAAGCCGTAGCAATTAAACAGTTAAAACCCAACGTGTGTATTCAGAGAGGAACAGTCGTCAATCCCTCCCTACTATGGCAAGAACATTTTTTTACATTTATTTATTTTCAGTGTTTTACTTCAGATAATTTTGATAATGTCATTTTGTAGTCCTTAATTCATTTTTGTCATCATCCATACTTCCGACCTAGATATTTTACCTCTACTCAACTTTTTATTATTTTAACCAAAACCTGTCCAACTTCTGTTTTTGACTGTAGACTATTCTTTTAAGTTTTCTATATACACCATCAAGCCTACTGACACCTATATTTATCCACTTTCAACTGCTGGTGTATAGAATTACGTAATATTAATGACTGCTATCCACCAAACAATTGATTGTAGTATGTGAACATCTTTATCTTGATATTGTGATTGTTTAAGTTGAACACAGCTGTTAAGATCCAAGAAATAGAATGATAGCATGTTATCCGGTTCAGTTTGTTGTTCTTGTCCCGTTCAAACTGTTCTTTTATCAAATACTTTAAAATTCATGTCAGACAAATATTCCATGATGTTGAGAACAAGGTGTGTACTAACAACGAATAAAATAAATAGATACCTCTGAAATGGTAATAGCGTCTGGCTATCCCTAACTAACTGGTTGAATATTATTTTCCGCATATCAGCCATATAAGAGAAATGGGCTTAATTCAACTCCTGTCTGCTATAAGTACACCGCGTAGATCCATCAAATTCTTGTTTAAAAAAGGTGTTAGCGATCTAAGTACATCTACCTCAGCTGGATATTAGAATATTCTGAGTCATCACTTTTTTTCTTTTTAAACAAACCTGCAACCACCTTAATCACATGAAGACACCATGGTGTAGTTAATTATCATAAGTCTCGGTTACATCAATGCAGGCGTTTTTCTTCTTCTGTGACGTCTCATTTCCTTTAAGTTTAGTCAATATATACAGAATGTGATGTTTTTTAGAAAAGAAAGGTAAATTCAGAAATATTAAGTAAGGCCGACAGCTCTGAGAAGGATTATCATACAAAAGTTCTTTGTATGAGAATGTCTATAAATTAGATTTGACTACTGCTAGATGAAATTTTCGTAACGGAAATACTCTTCCCTTGGACTTCATTTATCCTTGAAACCGTTGTCACGTGAGTGTTTCCTATTGTCATTTATACTATGGAAATTATCATTTACTTTCACTTACCACTCTCTTCTGTTTGAATAGAATAGATCATTCAAAAATCTAGACTGCTCACAATAATACCGGTGTGGGTGCATGACTTAGCAACGTGTCTCATATCGTCAACTAATTAAACACAGTTATTACCATGACAATATTTCTTTGTTATTATTCATTGATTCGATATTTTCATAAGTTTCAAATATACAATTAAAATATCAGTTTGTGGCAAGGACTGAGCCTTCTAATGAACTTTCTTTTTTCAAGGTTGGTTTCCACTGATAAATCCAAATTTGAAGATGAGCTACTTTCAGAAGATCCAAGCTGTACATTTTTGAAAAACTTCCTTGCTACTATATCTTATGTAGAACCTTTTTTGAGGAGTTAAACTGGAGGGATTTCTTTCCAAAAAATTACTAAGATTGTAACACGCCTGGAATTTGAAAAAATAGTTTCTTTAAATAAAATATCCTTTTAGTTATTGTGTGTACTAAAGTGGTTGAATAATAATTTAAACAGTGTTGACACAAATACTGCTGTAAGATGAACGAGAAGATATTTGATTGAAACTAAAAGTATCTGCACACGTTAAGGCTAAGTAATGTATGGTGAGTACTGACAATGCGGTTTAGTTATAAATTTGGAAATGAACTTTCCTTTTATTTTGCTAATTTAATTCCAGCTTCATACGACCAGACATTTTCTGAGTGTTCATAGATTCCTAGATTCGGAACACGTCTTTACTGTTGTACCTATCTGATTAGTCACCAGAGGTTTTTTACTTATTTTAATGACTTTTCTCCTTTACACAATCTCCCTTTGTATGAATCTTTACTGTCTAGTAATATGTGAATTAAATTTAATGTACACCGATAGGATGAAGGCAAAATAGCAAAAGAGAAGTTCATATAACACTCCTTGCGACAATTGATCAGTTGAAATTAAAATTAAATGAATGACAGTTGACAAGTAATGTCTTCATTGTACTATAGACTACGCACCTTGTGAATCTGCTTCTCCTATTGTCCTACTTTATAGTCCATACCCCACCAAGTCACACTTAATGAAAGACTAAAACATTCACATATTCAAATTACATGTGTATATTTCTGAAGAAATCATATATAACTATTTAGAGATGATGAACTGAAATGCCTGTTGTTGCTGACCGACCCACTTCTTCGCTCTATAAACCAAACTGAAAACTAACATATTCATTGAAAATACTAAAAGCAGTCAACAAAGGATAAAATTAGAAGTGGAATATGCTTGTAGGCGAGTAACCGATATATTTTAAAGTAAAACATTCCCCTCCCTAAATGACGCTTGTGGATATTTCATTCAGTCGTCAGCAAGAACTGCTATCTTAATGAAAACAATGCATCAGAAAAGTATCCTCTCAATCGTTTCATTATCTGATAACACTTACCATTAGATATTGTGATGTTGATGGATGTTTGCTGTTAGGTCATTCTAATCTATGTTGCGTCGGGAATGCCATTCGCTGATCAAAATACCACTGAAAATTGCGTAATTCTGCATGTGGATTTAAATTTGTAATTCAGATTATGGGAAATTGTCTCCATCCATCAACAAATACTCTCAACCTGAAATGCAGTTAGTGGCTTACTTTTCATAACCAAATGAACCGCACCAATGTTAGATGATTCGAGAAATTTGAGTATTAAGTGTCACCAAAAGATAAAAGCCTTTTTGATATTATGGTATTTCGCAATGTCATTCCCCACAGAGAAGTATTGAACGGGAACTAGTAACATAATAAGTAAAGGTTGATAAATTCAAGCACATTAGTGTGTGTGATTGTTGAAATTCTTTTTTGTTAACACCAGCTGTCCAGTAATACCTGAAATATAGGCTTTTGTTGGTTAGGAATTCTGATTCCTTGATCGGCTAAATATGTATGAAAGACATGATTTACTGTTCACACTACAGAATTCAATTCTATCGGCTGAAGTCAACATTCAGCTTATTTATATTATGCATTTGTTATTTCCCAGATGGCGTTTATTCATTTTAGTTAAATGCGCATTTCTGTATTAGAAAAAAAGAATAAAAGTGACACTGTTCAACTTGAATTGAAGAACAATAATATTAATAATAATAATCCTGAATCCTTATTATTGCCGTTTGTTCAACTCCATAATAAGCCTGTAACCGAAATAAGAGAAAAATAAAAATGCATTCATTCTTCCTTATTTGCTTCGATTAAATACAAAAGAGAAATGTAAATAATAACTTATTATCTCCAGCTTCGCACCAAACCATGATGAAAATGATAAAATGATCATACCGGGTAGCGTTAAATTATTTTAAGCAACCTGGATGTTCAGAAACTATGCCAGTAACATATTGGTTTTCTCGAAACTGTTAGACGGTGAAGTGTTGTGCTTTTGTAACCATTCATCTAAACACCTCCGTCATTTGTTCATCTCATAATTCAGTTGTTAAATCTATTGCTGTGTTCATAATTCATCACAAACCCAATATTATTAGCAGGATTATTGTTGAAATTAAAAGACAAACACACCATCTCTGAGGGATAAACTCATTTCAGTCTGATTGAGATAAATAAGTTGTTGTTATCCAGCACATATGCTACCGGTGAACTAGTTCACGGTTGTAGAAATGGGTATAAATAATTTAGCTTTAAAAACGTAGTAACTACCACCTTACAAGTATTGACTGGAATGGACACTTGACCCAAAAAGTTATAGGAGAAAGTAGTAGTCAGTCGGTCAGTGTTTTTTCAACCATATTTCAACCTCATTATTTGTGATTTTTTATACTGTTTCTCCATGTGACGATTTCTTAAACTCCGTCTTATAAATTCAATCTTATAGTAAGCAGTTACGTTACATATGACGTAAAGTCCCATTCGTTGTTGCTTATTTTGAATTCCTTCTTCCTTTCGTTTATAAATCTTTAGATATTATCTTTTAATCATGTAAAGCGTTAGCTATAGTTTTGGATTGAAGTATGAAAATTTTTGCTGTTCATATTCATTAGATCAGACATGTGTATAAAGGTAACGAAAATTTCCAACACAAATACTAGAATTCACTGACTTGTATAAGTGAATTTCTAAAAGAGACAGATAGTGATAAGAGTTGCGCAATCATGGTAGGAGCACTGAAGAAGTGACTTTGATGACTTTTTTGTTTGAACTGTCTCAATTGTTTTTTTAAAATGATAATTTGATTTTATTTCTGCAAAAGAAATGAGGATATTAATTTGTATTGATTTAAAGTCTGGATAAAGCTGTGGATTTCTTCCTCCATCTCCTCGCCTGTTAGTCGATATAAGTAAACGTTTCATTTTTCGTCCATATCCTTTCTATTGGTGAACTGTTTTACAGCTTAGGGGCTATGCAACATGTATTTTTCATCTGTTTGCTTAGTGGATAAATTTTGTTGTAAAATATGTACCAAATTTGTGAGCGGATAAAAAGGTGTGGCCTGCTGCTCTGTGCATAAATATGTCTGATCGTTTTGACTAATGACTGGTAAAAGTCGTAAAACAGTTTTTTTTAATTCTTATCCAGTTTGGTATAACTTAGTTTCGTTAATCATATTTTGCATTTATTCCTCAGTGCTTTGAAATGAATTCAGTATTTTTTATTGATGATGCAGAAAATGTAAAAAGGGATAATGATTTTCCAGTTCTGTGAACCTGGTAGTAAAAACAAAGAAATTTTTATTTGCAATACATTTCAACGCGCTCAGAATTTGGGCACAGTTGCATCTCTGAGCTTTAATCGTTGTCAAACACCCACATTATGATGTCGAATTAGGGCGACGTAGTCTCTTTAGCTGTTTTTCTCCTTAGTTAGTGGAACTTCAACACTTCATCACTGCTTTTAATCACCTACCTTCTGCTACATTACTATTGTTTTGTCTGTAATAAAGTTTAAAATAAGAGAAATGTTTCCATACTATGTTCAGTATAAGTAAGAAAGCTTCTTAGTTCAGTGAACGACACTATCACTAAATGATTCTGTCTTATTGGGAAAATGAATTTACATAGATTCTTCTAAACTACAATTCATTCTTGATACAAAATTTTTCACTAATTTCTGATCTGCAGACTGGCAGTATCCACAAAACTGATTGAAAGTTAAGTATAATATCAAAATGATACTTTCACTTAATAAGTAGAATGATCGAATATATTTTAGACAGATGAGAAGTTTGTTTGATACCTATGAAACCTGAGCATTTTAATTTTGCTAAACATCTGGAGATAAACATGCATTATGCTAGTAACCTTGACATGCTGTGAAAATCACGTGTCCATTTTTGTTTTTACAATTTCAGTTTACATAAGTGTAAACTCGGAGTCTGGTTCACAGAACAGCTGAAACTAGCCCGAGCTTGTGGTCGTGTAAGAGGTGTAAGCGGTCCAGAAGCTTTGCGTTCTTCCATGCTACGTATACAGCGTAAGTAAAATTAATTTTTTTCATGATGTGAACATATATGCCTTAGGAATTATCCTTTGAATATTCTTTTCGATTTGTCTTTACATCGCATCTACAGTTACGCAAAGGAGAAACATAATGTATCAGTAGACAGATGGTTTTTTTAAATTCATGTATGTTTACGACGAAAGGAAGCTATTTTCTGCGATAATGATTTAGGATCCTGTCACTACATATTTTTATGTTATTTAGGCTTGACCGAAAATAACAGGTATGTCACTTCTATACTCGAATGGATTAAAATTTATAAGCTATCCCATCTTAGTTCAACCACATTATCTCCAATTTGTGTCAGCATACCCTCTTATTGAAACGGTTGATTCCATCTGTAGTTAATTCGATTTAATAACTTTACATTTGAAACTGATTTTCCTATTGTACAAGAAACGTTCACGTGGTTAGCAAAGTTGAAAATTCATTTTAAAATTGACACCCAATAACTCTGATGGTGAACAGAATCCAATACAAACTCAGCACAAATGAATCCTGTGTGGGATCAAATCAGTTTACTCTAGTCAGAACACTCGATTTTCAACCAATCTAGACAAATAAGTAGTATTACACACAATAAGTGTGGCTCATAGCCTGTTAAATCAAAACCTCCCAGAAGCTGAATTCTAACTAAATTAACAAGGTAAACGAAAATGTGAATTAGGTTGAATGTAACTGTCAAAGGTCAAGGGTAAAGACAAGATCTGGAAAACACGTCACGTTTTGACTGAAATTCGTGTAGATAAACAACTATTTCACCTTACTGAATTTGGGACCACACACACCTGCAGTCTGTTACTCGAGTAAGCATAATACCTCTCTGAATAATGACCGTATAAATAAGCAAGAATTAAGTCGCAGTTGTTATTCGTTTATATCAGTCACTCAGACAGGTACATTTGTAACATAACGTCATTAAAATTTTGGTATTATTTTTTGGCATCTCTGATTATGAAGGACGTAAAAATCCTGTTTCGACGTGTTTTCTATCAAGGAAAGTCTCATGACCCAGACGTATTGTGTGAATTTACTTTAAACTGTATTATGTATTGCTTGCCGACCATACACATGGTCAGGGGTTCGATCCGCGGCCAATGCACTCCTTTACCTCGCTAAACCAGTAATACGACTGGTAAAGAGGGAAGGTTGGGCATGAGGCTAGCAACCCCATCCTGTAAAAATAAACACTGCTACAGAAACTTCAAGCCTCTAGCTTGAAGCCCTATGTTCCACTGGGAACGTAAAGGAATAAAAAAAATGGTGTTTTATGGATGTTTTCAAAGGATTTATCACTGAATGTTACTTATTTTTGTTTATTTTTAGTTCCCAGTTTTAAAAGTTGTTAACATGATGTAGTTACCTAGATTCGGTAACACAGTCAAGTTGTTGAAAATAGTATTTTGCTAAGCTATCATCCTCCGGTATAAAGGTAGCTAGTTTCCTCTACTGCATGCACGAGGGCGTATTCTGCCAAAGGAATTTACTTATTTAAGAGAAAAAGATGATAGAGTAATGATAGTCGTTTAGTTAACAGTATTTTATCTGTGGATTCCCAAAAACACTCTGCTTCCTAATTTATTTACACCTCTACTGCAATGATTCTTCAAATACAATTGCGAAATCGATGAGTAGGTGCTATCGCACACTCCTCTCGCAAGATTACCCCAAAAGTGTCACATACACACCTAAAATTAATTATCAAAGGAATCCACGGCGAAATCCGTGATGTTATCTGGTACAAAGTCAAAAATACCATTTCAAGAGGAAGTTGATTTCTCATTATTTAAGAGACGTTTTTAATGTACATTTTAGAGGACTGAAATGCATGTGTGAAAATTTATTCAGAATGAGTCAGTTTAGTGAATTTCTTATTTTTAGCAACTTGAAAGCAATGGGAATGCATTTCGAATTCTTAGTTATAATGAGAATGAGTAGTATTTTGTTCTGTATTATGCTTTGCAATTTGAAAATGTTCTCTCTCCAGGCCTAATCAACTTGAATATGAACCGGAAACGTGTATAAAACACTATATTCATGTTAGATGTTAGTTGGAGGAAAATGACAGGAACCCCCATGCCTAGGATTCGTCCTCAAAATTCAGTCAACATAGGTGAACAGTTGCTGTAAATGCTCCATTCTTTTTATGTTTTATATTCATACAACTGCAATCACGAAAACGAGATATTTCATCGGAAATCCTGTTAGCATCACTGATTTTTGGTTGCAGTTGTTGTTTTGTTATTCCAAATGATGTCATTTATGGAATATACAAGTTATTATATCACTTCTTTTCAGGTGAATCCAGAACAAATACTCCAGTTCAAAGTCAAGAGGTTAATACTCATGGAATGAGTAAGTTTTGCGTCTATTTTTCATTTATTTTACCCTTTTTATTTGTCTATTGCAAACAGTGTGACTAGAAATTTGCGTGCGCGGTCCAGCTCTAGTTTTCGATTCAGTAAAATGATTGTATATATATTTGGAGTTAACCCAAAAGAAACCTGGACAGAATAAAATCTGAATGAACCACAGACTTGTATACTTTCAATTTCTTACTAGTTGTCTCAATCATTTATCATTCAACCTAGACTAATCCAGATGGTGGGACGTATTATTTTTAGCATATGTTCCTGAAGAAATTTAAGGCATAGATTTCTCATAATGAAGCAGTGCAGCTCAAGAACACAATCATTTAAAAGCCATCTAAACACAACTTAGTTAATATTGTTGTTATTGATGAGGCCAATTATGATTGATTTTCTCCAAATCAAAAAAATGCTGGATATATTTCGTATTCAGCATCTTTTTATTAGCATTACAACTCCTCAAGTCAATTCATTTGTTGGCACCTAGTGACTTAACACTACAACAAAGACAGTAAGTAAGCAGACACACACATATGCACACACAAACACACTATGCACACACATTCGCAAATAGAACTGATAATATAATGAATTACTATCATGATTAATCATTGCAGATTGTCATTAAATTCAATTTTTATTTAAATCAATACGCACTGTCATCTAAGCTGTGTGTTAAACAGAAGAAATTCATTAGACATTTACTGTTTGATTACAAAAGATGACTATTTGGCATTTAGCTGTAGTAATGACGTTTTCATTTAGCTATTCAATACTGAACAAGGTAAAATGAAGTAATGTATGCAGATAGACAAAGTGATGGAATACAGATATTGTCAGGTTTTGAGTAGTTCTCACTATTATAATTATCGTCGGAAATGGGTATATGACAGAAAAAAAAAAAAGCTAGACAATACAATTTTACTTACTTAATTTGCATTACCGGAAGCAGTGGATAGAATGACCGCTTATTCCCCGTTTTTCTTACTAGAATTTTTCAAAACCTATCCTGTCAGTCAGAAGTAATGAAATGAATTTAGAGTAGATTATAAGAAGTGAGTAAGTGGCTACAAGCAATTAATATTTCAGACAAACATTAACTCACAGCGTAACAGTTCTACATTAGGATAAATATGTTTTATCTTCAGATTAACCACTATGCTTCCACCATTTCTGTGTGAACTTGACAGTGTTTTACTTGATTACGTGTACAGTTGATCAGAGATGTTATCAGGTACAATGTGAATTATTAATTACACGCATACCAAATAGGTTACTCTCTCCATTTGCTCGTATGCTGGGCTGTACCAAGAGTTCATCAAAGAGACTGAAACCATCTATATAAAGCTAGCCTCTCCTGCTATTTAAATATGCTTTTGAAAACACTTTCGTAAATAAAAGTAAGGCTCAGTTATACAGGCTGTATTATGATATTTTCTTGGTTTCGGTAGTCAGTTTCAGCTCCAGGAATACACTTCCTTATTTTAGGTTAACTGACCAACAACAAAGTAGTACTTTTTTAAATATTTCATTTCTTGGGTTTTAAGATCTAATTTCACTGAATTCAATAACTTTTACAGCTCACACTAGTAGAGCTTACTTAGATATGCCTACAAGAGACATTTAATTCTGTAACTATAATTTCCTCGGTCTATGGAAAACTAAATAATTCTCATCTGAACTTACAAATATTAGGATTTGACCTGTACGTCAGAAACATTCTATATTCCAAATTTAGATTTTATTGTCATTTAGAAGGGAAGGAAAAAGTGTTATCGGGTTATTATCTAGTAGAGTCAGCCTTCATTAAACCATTTTTGCTTATACATTCCGTGTAAACACCAAAGTTTATTGCTCACTGATATCAGGAATTTGCATCCACAAGTGTAGCCTAAAGTAAACACTGTCATCACCTGGAGGATAACTAGATCTAAAATAAGCTGAACAACTATTCAGTTCTTGTTCTTGAGAATCCTCACTCATTAGGATCAGGTAGGATTTTCAGTGTTAAACATATAACCGTAGTTTTACACAGTGTCATTTGAGTAAAGCAAAGACAGTAGCATTGGTGTATGGTGAAAAAGGATCAATTTTATTTCATCGTTACCTTTTCAAATACTTCCAAAGCTGGATGATAGCAGTAAATGGTGTTATTATCATCTTAGTATACCTTAGTTCGCTAGAATACAGTAATTAAGAATAATCATGGTATACAGATGAGTCAAAACGTTAGGTTACTCGAATATAACTAATCGCTTCAAATAAATAATAAAGGCAGTCGACGTTTCTTCTTCTTCAATGATATTAACAGCAAATTGATGGGGATAAGATGGAAGATTACGTAAGTCATCATAATAGAAAAAACATATACGAAGTGTAGTTAGTTAAACTCACTGAGTTAAATTCAAACAAATGAAACATATGATTAGCAAATAATGACGCAGCTGAGTAAATGTGAAAAGAAATCAACATTTACATTCAATAAAAGATAACATGACCTATTGTAAACGCCTGTGAAAAGTGTGATCATTGTGAAATCAGTCATTTTATTATAAGCATATTTGTCTTGTTTGTTTATACATTATGACAACTTTTAATTTTTTTATATTGACAAGCAATTATTTTGCCCTAAATATTATGAAAATTAAAACTCATTGTTGTCTGTAAATAAATGTTATAGGTAAACTAAAATTTAGTTGGTAGTGAAACTCAATATTATTCGTTATCCAGTTGGAACTTGTTAACTCTGTAGTATATGCTGAAAAACATTTTCATTAACACTCAACTTGTACAAATTTCTGGGGGGAGGTATATTTTACTGCAATCATGTTTTCAACTTGTACTTGCAACACACTTCAACGTTTTAATCGGTTCTTCTGCAACATTTAAATCTGAAGATGCAAAATTGCATTAATGTAATTGTCGGTGATGTCGTGAATAAGGATTTCCACACTGTAAACACTAAAGACCTTTAAAATGTTGACAATAGGTCTTTGGAAAAGGTACTAGTATTACTGAATACAAGGTGCCTGGTTCTCCTACTTTTGTTGTATTATTGTTTTATATTAATCACTTGAGTTCCCAAAGGAGCATAGGCCTTCAGTAGCACTCGGTCTTCTGCTAACCCTTTCAGCTGACTGAACATCTGTCCAAAAGTTTTCACTTACTCTTCACATGGTCTCCACCATTTCACACTCGTTAGCTCAATCCATGGCTTACTATTGAAGTTCCGCGCGGGTACCACGCATGTGATGTCACTTGAATGTCTCCTCAGCGTATATCCAATATGTCCCCATCCCCTTCATTACAGTTATTGCTTTCTGCTTACTAATCTTTAGTTCACGTTAGTCTCTTTCAAAGCTCGAATACATCACTTTTGGCCTTTACATCCAGTAGAATTCGTCACAGACCGAAACAACCTTTGCACCAGTCAATTATCTGCGTTGCTTTTAAGATATGTAAAATTTGTTACTGAATCAGGATTTAATGAATCCATCAAATTTCGGTAGGACTTATCACGTGAATACTCTACATTTCTGTATTAAACATACTATTCAAAATATGTGAGGAGATATGTGGTTATAGTAAAAGGTCAAGTTCTGATGTGTAAAAAGGGATGAAAAGATACAAGAGATTGAGTGTCAGGATAGTAATGGATTACATTTCAGTTACGTAACTGTAACAATGAATAGTCAGCTATTGGAAATGAAATTTGGTATTATTAAGAATTCTACGATAAGCTGTGATAAAATAGCAGTTACAGTTAGCAGACCGTAATATATTACCATAGCAAATTGTTTTTTACACATATGTGGTTCGCTAACCCTGTCTGCAACTGCTAGTATGTTTCTGCTCGAGAAATAATGACTTAACAGCGTCATTTGTATCTGCATGTAATTAGTTGTCAGCCAGCTACTAATTTTGTTTATTCATTTACGTTCCCAGTGGAACATAGGGCTTCAAGCTAGAGGCTTGAAGTTTCTGTAGCAGTGGTGATTATTTTTACAGGATGGGGTTGCTAGCCTCATGCCCAACCTTTCCTCTTCACCAGCTTTCAGTTCTGGCTTAGCGATGTAAAGGACTGCATCGGCCGGGGATCGAACCCCGGACCACATACGTGGTCGACCAGCATTCTACTTTCATTTATATCGACTTCATTTTAAAAAAAATGAACTAACCAAGAGCATTGAGTAATCTAGTTTGAGAATAGGTCAACTTCATGTCTCTTTGTTTTTTTTCTCTCTTGATCTACTTTTGATAGACTTATTTAGTCTAGTGTGCAGAAATGAAAACAAATGAATCACTCAGATTCTTGTTACTTACTTGCAGTTTAAAACACGTCAGTAATCTAGGGAAAATGCAAAGTAGTCTTGCTTCTTTGTGTTCTGCATAATTATAACGATAACAATAATAAAAGTTGTTACAGTTACCAGTATAGCATTGTATACTATGCGAAAGCGACACTATATATAATGGAAATCGGATACTTGCTTTCTGCTCTGATTGCAAGAAACCCACTTTGCTTTCATAAAATAACTTATAACATCTGTGCTGTGAATGTTTTTTATACTAATGACTTAATTATGTGAGTTGACTGAAATTCATTCATGAGTTAACAACTAGCCTTCTTTATTACTTTTCGGTGAAGAGTTGTGTGTAAGCAAACAACTTAAGGTTATTAAATTTAAGGGATTACGTTATATTGAAAATCAAACCAAACATTGAATGAACTGTAATCGAAAGTTGATGAATGGACAGCGTGGAGCCGTTGCCAGTTGTACAAGCTGCGAACAAGGCGAATTTATGTTAACGAATAGTAATCCTGAAAAACATTAATGAACATAAAACTTTCTATTGATAGCACAATTAACTAAACAATCAACATTTTCTTAAACATTGTAATGTTTTAACGAAATCCCTACAAAATAAAATATCATATCATACAGCTCACTAGAGAATCCTAAAAGATATGCCTTTAAGCACTTCCTATTTATCTAATACTTTATTGAAATAATTCGTCCCGTTGTACAGAAGAACACACGCGAGCAAATACAATGAATGAGAATCTCCTATGAAACTCTCAAGCATATTGTGGATCAATAAAAGGATTCTAGGAGGTCTGTGTATTACAGATAATTTATTTATATCTCATGTTTTACAAACTCGAGGATTTACAAGTGAAAGCCAAGAATTTAGCAGAAAAAGCAGAAAAGAACATGACACAAAGGTGATAAAGATACCTGAACAACAACAAATACTAATCTTCGCGAATGGATGAAATCTAAATGGAGTCATCTCTTTCACTTACGTGGATATCCAGCTTCGTTTCAACTACAGGCAGCGGGCATGGATGAGGATGTCAAAGCCTGCCAGGATCGGAAGAGGAAAAGTTAGGTAGGAATTAATTACTCTGAAGCCAGTCTGGTGGTCTACAGAACTCAGTGCGAAGGACAAGATCAGTTTCTTTACACTAATGTGAAACCAGTACTGGAATGCAAAATGACTAATTGGACGTCCGAGTATGAGATGGTGGAGATCGTGTGATCAGAAAATGAAGGCTTTTGAGCAGTTGTGAAATCAGCTGAAAGTGATGATGGTATATAGTCAAGTGCAATGGAGAAATGTCTATTTTTTTATTTAAATAGAACTGGAGTGCTACTTATTATCGAAAGCTTTTAACAATTCGATATATTGTACTCTAATTGTATCAATGATCATGGTAATGCTGGCCAGAGTGTGCACTGAAATAATACTGCATTTTCAGTAATATAGTCAAAAATCTCTAATTTTCATCCCTTTTAAGCTTAATTCTTGGAGTTACATAAGTGTTGAGAATTAAGTTCTAAAATTCTCTTTAACTCTGATTTGATGAACTCGATCACAGACTTAAAACGTATACGTAACCATTGTATGTGTAGATTTAATTCTTTTTGAGCAACCTAATCCCATTTATATGCAATAACCACTTCGACTCGTTTATCTTGATATTACAATATTCCTTTCACAAAATGCGTTGAAATATCAATGAGTTGCTTACATATAATTGTTTCTTTACAGTGTTATATCAGTAGGCCGAATCTGTATATTTTTAATGGAGTCATTCGAAAACTTAGGTATTAGAAACTACGAAATTGAAAACAGAAGGCTTACGGTCGGTACAGATATAAATCTCATTTTAAATGTCTTTAACGTTTTAAAAATACATTCACCAACCTTCTTCAGATATGTGAATATCCATAAGTTTCTCTGTTGTATGTAAATGCTAACATGATTTGAGTCTTTATAAGCATACTGACTATTATGTTAACTTATGTTTCCTTCTTTACATATTAGGCAAACAGCCCAAATCGCTTCACGTAAGTCCGTACTACTTTTTCTCTTAAACGAGCATATTACGATTATCTTTAAAGTGGAGTGAATTTTGGTCATTTTGTCTGGAAAAGTATTATTGTCCGTTTAGATATTTCTCTGGCTATCGAATTCAAGTTAACCACCAGATTAAATAACAAAAATAACTTTGTGAAAGTCTTCTTGTAATTGACTTTCCATAGTTTATATAGGCCAAGTTCGAGAACACTGTTATGTAGCTTTACTTTTATCATAATTGTAGTGCACAAAAGCCTGTCAGTACTGACGAATACTGCTTTGTAATAGTTATCAGTAATTAAAACCAACTGCCAAGTTTAAGACTACTACAGAAATCTGTTGAATTCACAGTTAAACGCTTTCCTATATAGTTTTGTTTGTAGTCATTCTAAAATTCAGTGAGTCAGCCAAGTAGCTGATTACTTAGATTTTGGCGAACAATTCATATTTGCTTCTAGCAGAGAAAATGAACAGATTTTATAATTTAGGAGTGAACATTGTCGTTGTCGTACTTGTTTATATTAAAGCGACTATACTTGTATACACATTATAATAGTTAAAAGAAGACTTGTAAGCTAACTATGCTGTTTTCAATTAGATCCTCCGGCTTTACTTTAATGTACACAGTTTAATATATTCGAAAATGTTAATTATTAGAATTAAGCATGTAGAAGACCTAATTGAAAACGATTCTGTCCAATTATATGTCTTGGCTTAGTTTTAACAATAGGAATATTTAATGTTTTCAAGATAATACTTGTCCCAATATCTCTTAGTATCTGTATTTTTTTAAATGAAACCCTAAAAATACTAGCCTGATAATCACAAGGGGACTTAACAACTAGTAATACTCAGTCTTCATGAAAAAAATCGTATCATGTAAAAGGAAGTCTTGAGATGGATAGACTATATGTTTAATGTGAGCAAACCGTTATTTTCCAGTGAAGAAATCTTAGAGAACGTGCTTATCCTGTCCCATATTAGATAAATTTATATTGTTTTAACACAGTGATACAGTGATGATAATAAAAGTGGGTGATGTTTTGAACACAATTCACTGCTCATAGTCATATTTATGAATTCACATAACTTTCTAACTTGATTCGTTTTGTTTACACCTTCTTGCCTTCAATGCAGTTTTCCATATACTCAGGATTAGTATGGCGTTATCGCTGTTACATTATTGAATGCTGATTTGATAAACACAGATTTAGTTTATTAACTTCTCTATCCACCTAATTTTATTACTTTCTAATAATTTTACCGTGCTCCATTCTATCGTGTGACCGTGTGCCATCGCATTCATGACAATGGACGAGTTTTTTCCAGATCATTAAACCTAGCGATGTCTCTAATTCTAACGTTAAATCCCTATCTTGTTTTTGTTTTATTTTGCATTCTAGCATAGCCAATCCATTGTGTTCATTCTTTAACTAGAAATCGGACTGGATTCCATCGATTACTTTATTTATATTGGCAAATAAGTTAAGGATATGCATGTATTTCACCGTAGTGAATATGTCACCCAAACACGATAGGAGTAGGATTAAACGTCGTAAGACCTTTACGACTATGATTACCAATAGGTGAAAATAGTTGATATACGTCGTTAGATTAAGAAGTTTGAAAAAAATCTCGGGTATTACCATGCAATAGGGAGAAGATATTAGAAAGTAATATATATATATATGTAATTAAGTCGAAAGGAGTTAATCGCTCCATCTTTTTTTATCGAATCAACACCTGACACATGATAGGAATAAAGCAATAGATGGATAAGTAAATCAAAAGACAAGAGAGAGTAAAGCCGTATGAAGCAGGTTGGCAAGTCATGTTCCACGCCTTTATATAATGACGAGCAGTGAATTGTGCTTAAAATAGCATCACATTTGTTAATACTATATTACTGTATGTTATAACAAATAAACTTATTTGATAAGAAATTAGATTTTACTATTACGTCCCAATCCTACCTTTATCTGAAATTTCACATCGAATTGCACCTGAGATGCATTCCATAGATTCTGCTGGGAATGTACTGGATTAGATCTATAGTGTAATCATGAATTCCTATTATATTATAAAAGTACACCGCTTTTTATGAAAGTATTACGTTTCTTAACTAAAATCAACGGAATATTGATCTTTGCAACCTTAAATTTAGAGCACTGAATAAATCTGATATCTAAAAGTTTGTGGAATTGTGACAATATACCATACTGATTAGGGTTAGAAGAAAGAATTTATGCTTTGATTAAGTTTACCATAAAAATTTTAGTGTTTCTGAGCTATACTCAGTTTACTAATGAAATGTAGAAGTGACAGATTTTATCAGTACTGATTCCGGTAACTCCAGGTCGGTCAATTTTTCACTTAGTGATTCATTGTATACTGGTGCAAAGTACTGACATAATAGTGGAAATTATCATTAAGAAGTAGAAGGAAAACTGTGTGGAACAACATCGAGTGGATCAAATTACTTTTTAGGTAGTCAGTTTTGATTAACTGCTTGAATCTTCTTGATAAAATTCAGGCAACACAATGACTTACCGTAAAATACCTTAAATTCATGATTACCTATGAAAACAAACTATCTTAGAACAATGATTACTAATTTATCTTTATTGTCATGCATTAATATATATATATATATATATATATATACAAGTGACGACGATTAAGCTGGCTAAATAAGCTTATTTTGTGATTATTTGATTCATAAAGAATTCACAATCCTTGGTGGATAGTGGTTATGTTCCACAGAGGACACATTCGTGGATCGACGATGAGGTCTGTCCTGCGGGTGATAAAGATCATGTATGTTGATTGTACTTTTCTACTACATAATTTTTATTATATAGCAGTTTTGAAAATATTGCATTCCTGTAAATTTATCACTATCAGTTTGCTGATATCAAAAATGTTTCTTTTGTGTTGTTAAAATATGTAATACTACTAACATTTTCTATTATTTGTAACACATGCATTCCCTATAAAAAGTAGTTAATTTTTGTAAATGAATCGTTATTCATCATCATAGATGAAAAGCATGGATTCTCTTACATCAACGTTTTCTTTGTGTTTGTGATTAGTTCAAGTGTCAATTATGATAGTTAAACAGGGCTGGACAGGGATTTTTTATGTCACCTGCTTGACAATTTAAGTATAACAGATGCCATCGGTTAACGCAGTTTTCTGCTCACTAGACACTGGCATCAGTAAACGTATGCTGATTTTATCAAAGACTAATTTCAAATAGTTGCAAAATTTCCGTAACCTGGTAGAATACTCTTTAACATTTGAAACAATAAGTTTCAGCTGCGTATGAGCTTCACTCACAGACCTGTCCAACTGACGAATCACGAATTAGATGACAGGCACCTTCTAGATATCCACTCATAGTCACTGTTAAAATGTGGAAGATTCTTAATTAAGCGATAATTGAAGCATCACCAGTATTTCATTGGATTTTTGGTGACTTCATACCTATGCAAAACTCAAGTTTCCTGGTACTCAGTTCTTACATAAGCAAAAAGATAATATTTGCTAAACTTTATTGTAAACTGTTACGTTTTGTTTATCTATTTCTTTATTTGTCACTTACGTTCAATTAAAAAACAACTGGGATTTTTTCAAAACAGATGACATCATCACTGTCACAGTCATCCTCACTACAAATTCGTAAAGCTCTTCTGTCTGGAGAAGAATCAACGCATTTGCACCATCAGAATGCAGGACAAAGTTCATCAGAGTGCTACAGTCCATCGTTAGCTAGTGAAGCTGCATCAACCACTGAACGAAAAATTGCATGTTCCGTCACAGATTTGAGACAGAATAAAATTGCATCCAAACATCAGAAGCGTTTAGACTCGGATACAGGGAGTCGCTCAAATCTAAGCATAGCCAGTGGGGTAAGCAAACTGCTTTTTTGTTGTTTTTTTTCATTTGTGCATTTTAATGCAACTTAATCACCTTTAATAAGAAGAAAATTTAGGATAAGGTGTCTTAGGAATGTACTTGATACTCCGGCGCAGTTTTAACATATTAAACTGCCTAAAGGAAAAGAAAAAAATGCTATGTTTACATTGTGGTTGCTGGCTTATCTGAATGATTCTTTGGAGTAAGACGGAATCCTTCAGTCTGTAAGGATCTTTTATTTATTCAGATCTAGAAATACCTTGATTGGTACAAAATACAAATCAAATCTGGAGTTTTTAACTAATTAGAATTCATACAGTACAATATAATGCATTCAAAATTAAATATGTTATTTCCTTTTTTCTTGATAAATATAATTTCGACTGTGCCTGACTCATTAAAGTATCACTGAAACGAACATCACTATTCCTCCTAGAATACTGTTAAGATTAAAGTTAATTTTGCTTCTATGTCCCCTTGCAAAGAATAGCTTCACTATAATCATTTGAAAGAAGATGTTGGTTTACGACCATAAATTTGTCCTAAAACATAATCAGTCTTTAGGTTATTAACTCTGTTTGTTTACCAACAATTCAAGTTCCCCTGAGGCCATAATTATAACTAATTGACACGGAGGGTTGTTTCGGTAGTTCGGTGCCAAGCTCATTTTGACTCAGCTGAGAAATCCAAAGCAGTTCAAAACACCCAAATTCTAGCTGGCCACCTGATATAGCTGTAGTTTACAAAGTGTGAATTCGACCCTAGGACTCCAACATATATTATATCCTCAACTGAATTTCTAGGATTACTCTGTTAGATTTAGTTTTTGATGTTAGGCAAATGTTAATATCCCACCATAGTGAGCATTATTATTCAGATAACCATCCTTTCTAGGCTACAGACTCATTTTACCTTAATTTTAAGAGACTCAGTCTGTACGTCATTTATTCAATAAAGTTACTTCCACTATACAGTGTGGGTTATACTGACCGTTAAATTTACGCTGAATGGGGTAGGGTACACATTTTTGAGAAATGTCTTATGAAAGAGATTAATAAACAATTTTACATTACGAAGTTTTGTTTTCGGAAACTAATTTGTTACTAAATCTGTAACTTCTATATTCCGAATAACAGGCCTTAGAGGATAAAATTTTATGTACAGTAGACAAAGCAGAGTTCAAAGATAGCGGTACAATTTTAAATTTATCTCCCTTGTTCAGTTAGCTTTTCAGTGCATCAATCTATGACTATCAGTGCTTTGATTCTCCTTTTAATCACATACACGATATTCTGTGTTGTGAAGTTTAGCTAGCTTAAAAACGTGACAATCCCTAAAAGCTTTACTTTCCATATTCCAGTATTTCAAACATTCACCTAGACTCTTCATTTTATCATTTACGTTTCAGCTTTAAATGCCTTTAAACACAATTGTGTCCTTTCCTTGCAATCTACAAAACATTATCTGTCGATTGGTATCTTTAAATCACTTTTATACAAAAGTATTAAGCTTACAAGAATAATTTTGTCTTTTTATAACACAGTAACCATAGTGATGGTTAAAATGAGTTGGTTAATTTTCAGAATTGCATTATACGTATAATGAGCAACATACGTCTCAAATTTTCCACTGCTGCCATGTTCTTTCTTATTTTACTCTTGTTTATCAATAGTCTGTCATTTTTTCTCATCGACCTGAAATGTAAGGAAGTGAAATTTCATCAGAACTCTGCAGAATGGGATATTATTAGAAATTAATTAAAAGAAAACATGTCTTAATATGAAATAAACCTTCAGTTTTCAGGCTTTTTCAAGCTGAGTGCACTTTTAAAAGTTAATGTTTCTTAAGTTATATCTACTTACTAGTAAAATCAAGAGAACTATGCTTTGTAATTTCTAATCTTCATCTGTGCGTGTAATAGTGTCCAAGGGAAATGTATGATTCTGTTCGCTACATTTGAGCTTCAGTATCTAAATTACAAACAGCAAATTTCCTTGGAAAATGGTGACTTACCTAAAAGCGGTTTTGAAACTGGTAATATGCAAAAATAAAAAAATAAACTGGTAATATGCATCTTTCAGAATATTTAGGATGAAAAAAATTTCAGAGACCTGAGTTTCAGTGACTGCCCCTCCTGAAAAAGATTTTTTTGGTTTGAACATCTGATGAAGAATTACGCTTCAGATAAAGAAGTAGACTATGTTCAGCAGCACTAATTCTGAATGGTGAATGGAAAGCCATCAGACAATTTATTATTATCAGAAGGAAGATAATGCAAATATTTAGAACAGCATTACTTTGTAGCAGACGACAAGAGAAGCATTTATCAACCACTTAAATTCAGCCTATTTGGATTTTAAGTTCCACATATAACCCCAACGTAATTAGTTTTCCCATAATGCAGTTATTTGATGTTTACAACATTTTGTTAGAGCAGAAGGTGATCCAGATAGTATGAATTATTCGTATGCCTTAGAAAGAAGGTGATATTTCAGCTTATTTTGCCTTCCGTTCAATATATATATGTATTCACACCAGTTACTCAGAAGATACAGTTACTACATTAAAACAATAAAACTAAAAGTAATGCCATTCGTCTAGTGGAAGGAAGATCTGTTTGCTATTCGCTGAGTTGATTAATGAATTCCCAGTAAATGCGATATACAGTTTCTGTCGGTGACACAAAGACCAAGCTGAAAATATTTTGATGAAAAATTCAGGACACCCAGTAAACACTTTTATATTTGTAGAGACCACACTTTTCTTTTTGAATGATTCAGAGCTTACATGGAATATCTTGATAGAAAATGAAGCGGTTAATTGTACATAGTGACTTTATTAGCCTATTTAGTTTAACTGTCTACGGTGCATAACTGGGAGTATATGTATAAGAGATAATTCGTTATACTACGTATCACCACTTTATTGCTATTTCAAAATGTCACTCTTTCTTACATACAAAATAATCCTAATCTGTTGATTTCTTCATTAAGAAATAAAACAACCGATTTTCATATGAAAAATCCCACTTTATCTGATGTTGTAAGTATTATGCGAATGTGCATAAATGAATAATCTATTATCTTGCAGCTAAACACTTGAATCATGAAATTTGAATCAAACAGGCCAACATTGTATGCGCGTATAAGTGAAGGAATAATTAATGTAAATATTTCGATACAAAGTTTTCATCAGAGCTTTATTTTTCCGACTACATACTACAGTTAGTGGAGGCAGTTTGAGGAAAATTTTCGAACTCAATTCATTAAATCTATAAATCACCAAAAATGAGCTTTAACATATGTAACGTTTTTCTTATTATCTAACTTTGATATATTAAGTCGCTTTATTGTAAAAATGTCATTTGATAGGTAAGACACCTAAGTATGATCTCATCTTAACAAGCTATGTGTTCTCTTTATATTCTTTAAAACAGTTATATCATTAAATGTCGACATCTGTTATGTAACCAGCTGTCTTTTTGTACACTGTGCAACTGTGTTATCTTCATACTCTGTTTACGATTACTTTTAATTTGTGTGTTCTAGGTGTATCGTGATAGTATACACAAGTCACCTACAAAATCAAATCCGCCTAATGTACTTACAGTTGAACGCAGAAGTAATTGCAGTTCATTAAACGCAGTGGATTTAATTCACCCACGTAGGCATGAAACTATGTCACTTCCCAAAACTAACGAAACTTTTATCAATGAGATTTACGATAGTAATCTCAAACCATCACCAAGTGTTCAATCATTGTTTAGCGACACATTAGGCAAGAATTATGTAATTAGAAGCTAAAAAGAAGTTTTATTGTTCAGTGTTTAATAATTAACCCTCAAGTATCATCTTCATGTGGTTTTACATATTTTATCGCTTCAGTGTCAGTTTTAAACAATTGTTTGCTTGTTTGGATTTTATTATTTATTTCAAAGACGAGTGTTTGCTTTCGCTTTATAGCATGCATATGATGTTTACCTTGTGCAGAAGCCCTCGTAGGTGTGATAATGCATGGGTTGTATACCTGTTTTCCAAACAGCTGCTTAAATTCGTCGTGGTGGTTAGCTTTGTGTTGCTACGGTCGCTATGAGTTGTTTGCTATGAAAATGATTAAACTATCGTAGGCTGAATAGCTTTCTTTGAATTCATCTGTTTACATTACATACAAAATGCCTTTTCGATTACCATGTAAATTGGTAAAATTACAGCTTCCTCTGCTCGGCTGATGAACCACTGTAATCTAATTTATTAAAATGAACTAACGAAGCTACTAATTTTAACACAGATTGACAAACAGATAGGTTAAAGATAGATTTCATCACAAACTTAAATCAGTTTGAGAACAGTTGGAAACGACGAAGCACTGCTCATTAATGTATAACTACATGATGGGCTTCCTACAGTTTGAATGAGAAGTTGTGATCGGTGGAGTCCACCGCGTCAGTTGTAATGACAGATACCTGTCAGTGTTACTGAAAGTCAGTGCCCCTATGTCACGAATTATTACAAGTAAGAATTCATTGGTCACTGGATTCCAGTCAGGTAACTGAGTGATTAGCGTGTTTGTCTCATAAACTGAAGGCCTTGGGTTTGATACCTAGTGGAGTCTTAAATGCTCACTACTGAAGAGTCCAAGACTATGATGAAAAAGCTGTCCAGTGCTACATGGTTTTAAACAATCCTCTAAGTGCTGCCAGTCGGTGACAAAATCTACCTTAAAATCAATGAAGTCCCTGCAAGTCAACATTTGAAGATAAATTAAAATTTGTTGAAACCAAAACAGTAAGTTAACAAGAGCAGTTTGATTAGTTAGCTTAGCCATCTAGTGAATGGGAGGGCATGTTGGAAGCTTCTACGATCTCAGTACGGCGAAGCAAAAACAAATAGCTGAAATTCATAGAAGTTGTGGCCTAAAGTCAACGTCATTGTTAATAATGCGTTTTCACCTTGAATGAAATTGTTTTACTATTTCTTTTCGTTTTTATCTGATAGTTTTCAGCTTTCCGTAGTATTACTGGTTTTCTGCCTTCCCTCTTATTTAATCCTATTTTAATGCACTCATACGACTATGCAGCTTCTTCAGCAGACATTCAGTTACTGTCGATTTTATATAAATAACTTTTCTTGTCTAAGTTTCGTAAGGAGGTTATGAACTGGTAAATAAAAGTTTCAGTAGATGTTTATGAGCACGAATTTTATTGATTTTTGGTGTAAACACACAACGTGATCACTCGTGTCTGTCTTATTTTTATCAGAGAAATTAGCAGTAACATTGTGTCATAGTGACAATTAAATGACATATTGTAGTAATATATATTTGAACAGAAAACAACATTGTGAATATATTGTTTTGAACTGTCATAAGTTTTCAAAAATGAATCAGTAAAAGAATTCACTTTACATCTTCGGTCCTTTTGATTGTTGTTTTTTTTGTGCACATTCTCTTTGAGTATGCATCTTTACAAAGTGCAGACATTATGTTGTGTCTAGCAGGTTCTTTTTCACATAAAACTGTATGATTATCTCGCCCCATTTGAGCGTTTCACTTTCATTACATACATATGTATTTTTTTCTTAAGATGCCTAGTAAAATTAGTAGTCTGGCAAGTCAATTTAACTGTTGGAATGTAAATGATAAGAACATTTTAATTTGTGTTCTGCGTGTGTGTGTGTGTGAGCACTTGCATCACTGATGACTTGTAAATTTTGCTGTGGTGCACAAGGTGTAAATATTTAATCGTGCTAAATTTATTGTAGAAAGAGCAGAACAATTTACTGATTTAGTTGATAATTTTGAAAAGCTTTTAAAAGTGTAATATGGTGGCGTTGTGTTGCGCATACCACGTTTTATCTCATTTTCGTTGCAGTGAGAAAGTAATTATTTGGTGATGACGTCATTTACACATACATGTATAGTAACTTTAGAAAATGACAATTTGGATTAGGAAAATTTGTTTAACAGTTACTATGGCGATAGTTTAAATCACTTGTTTAATTCAGTGATGAATTTAAGTCACAAAATAACCCTAAATGATATGTGGCAAATGTTTACTCGCTGTACTGTGTTATAGAGTTCGACATAGATATTGTTTGATTGCTTCTGTGGCACTAAGGCTTTTCACCTATGGCTGTGAAATCAAGTAAGTCATATCAAGATATGTTTGGCTTGAGGATAAATGGCTTTCTGTTAGAAAGTGCCTGGGAATTTCATCCTTAGTACCTTAGTGGGATAAAATTTGAAATATCTTATTATCGCAAACAGTAATAAGTGCAATGCACACTGAATGAAACATGAATTTCCTCAAAATCGTAGATATTTTGGGTTCACTGGTGTCAATGAGCATTAAATCAAACTCCATGGTTCCCTGTCATTTAATATCAAATTAAAGCTCAGAGTGATTTTATATTACTTGAACATACAACCACACGGCACACCCAATGGCGCTCCGAATTTCACAATAGTCATTTGCATCCGTTACCAACTGGCGACTGTTTTACACTTGAACATCTACGGTATTCTGTGTCCTTTGAGATGCTAAATTTCACTATGAAACATTCATATTAAAATTTAGAAAACTTTAAATCATTCTAATATTCATTTGGTGCTACTATCTCATATATAAATTCTATAATTATTATCAAATGTAATATTAACTATGAAAACTATTCATATTTGTTTGTGTCCATTAAACCACCTGGCACCATTTCATTTAAGTGACTCTGAAATGTATCTAGTGATATGAAACAATGGTGAACTCAGCAGGCAGAGTAAATGAATATCAAACCTATCAATAACATATGAAAAGCTAAAATTACAGGCATTCACAGTTGGTAGACACAAAATTAAAATTTTTACATTCAGAAACACGGTGAACATATTCTCTACCTTCAGAATAAATGATGGTGATGAGAAAGCTCTAGTTGGGTTACCTGGTTCCGGAAGAAGCATTACTCACTTATAGCATTTAAAATCTGTAGTCCCTGGAAACTTGAATTTTATTCGGCTACTGTAAGACACCATTAAGTCTCTGAGTAAGGTAGAAAAATATTTTAACCGTTTCTGGAATATATTTGCTGTTTTTTCTAAAATTCTTTTTTTCTACATGTATTCATATATTTATCTAAAAACAAGATTAGCCATGGTTCTTCACTAAGTATATACAGTGAACGTGAGTCAAGTTATACGCATGGTATTCAAATATCTGGAGATTTACTTTTGATACTGTTCTACGATGATGCACAGAACGCTCTACGTGTTAGCATTAAACAGGCGCGTAATCTGGCAATAGCAGACAAAAAACATAATACAACGAATCCGTAAGTAGATACACTGATGATAACATTAGTTAGATGTCCCGTTTGTATTTTGGTTATCTGTTTTGTGAGTTTTTTAAAAATTATTAAAGGGAAATAAATGAGACAGTCAAACTAACAAATTCATGACATGTAAAAATAGTATTCTTTATGAATTTGAAGTTTCTGACACTGAAATCTGAACACACTTTAAAAGAGATTCAAGCAGAAGACGTTCGAATGATTTAGGATGTGAGAGTTAGTATAATTCAGTCTTTCAGTGTCATTTGATTTTCATTATGGACATCATTGTCAAGAAAGAATTACAACTAACAATAAACTACTTATTGCCTACTTCATTGAGAAATACATTGAAGATATATATCAATAAAATTTTGTGTAAAAGTAATTTGGTTTAACATGTATTACGGCTAACACTGGACACCTTTTTTAAGGTATATTAGTAAGCAAAACAAATGAATTCTGCATGTTAAAAAAAGCCTGGTGAAGATCAGTGTAATGTTGAGAAATCCGTATTTGTAAAAGTGCTTGAATAGAAAGAGAAAAAGGAACCGCTTAAACTGTTACCCCATGAAGAATCAAACCTAGAGACAATTTCTGAATAATTGAATTAAACAATCTGATGAAAAATAAAATAAACTAAATAGATACAGTTTGACTTTAACCGCACATCATAAAATATTTCCTTTCATAAAAAACACAGTTAAAACACAGACATCTAAAGTGGACAATATAAGATTTCTTTCTTCCAGTTGCAAATACATCAATTATTATTACCATTTCATGTTTTAAGTAAGAAAAACTATTATCCAAGGAAATATGTCAGCTGTCACTTAGTGAACTTTCACTTGCTCTTCATTCATTTCAAATTCAATTAGATCAGTGTACTATTGGAGGTACTTCCCAGTATTTTTCACGACATCCAACTTCTCTAAAACCTAACATGTTCATTTCATAAAGTCAGCTGACTGTTAGAAAATGACACATTCAAACCTTGGACAAATTGCGGATTAGAAATAAAACCTGCATTCACAATTTCCACATTTTTTAAATTTACATGCGTGAAATGTATACACCTTGTTTAACGCCATTAACTTTAATACTTTCCATCATAGTTTCCTATCATAAATGAGCCTGTTTCCAAAATGCGCTCAAACCGGTTTCTTAGACTTATACATTATTTTAGAAATCGATAATGATATCTGCTCATTATACTTGTAGCAGACAGAGTAAACGTAATGAGGACATCCTTTTATGCGTGACTCACTTTATATACTCTCTTTCTCCACTTTCTAGTTTATATATATATATATGTATATAAAATAGATATATTGGTTTAACAGTTAATCTGTAATGAGTAAATTGTATTAAGTTTAGGTGTATACAAAAGCGAAATAATAACAAAACTCTTGCCAAATTAAAGATGTAACATTTAAGTTGTCTTTCAGGTTTGGCACACAAAATAGGTGCTGCTATATTTAATCACGTTTACTGAATTAATCTTTATAAGAAAACTGCCTCTATCTTCGATACCAAAGCAGTTATTTTTCTTGCTACAAGTCTATTCTCTGTCATAATATTTCTATGGATTTTATAAATAATAAACTTCGTTTTTCTTGATGCTAGCACGTTTTACTTTTGAAAAAGAATTCCGTGTTTATGTCTCACCTTCTTGTGGATGTTTTTCTCCTTTTTTTCAACTTAAAACCAGTTATGTGAAGTCTTATTTACTACCAGACCGAACAAAGGGAAGTAAGCGAAAGACATCACATAAAAAGGAAACATGTAATCCAGTCTATGATGAAGAGTTTAAATATCATATACTCAGACAAGATCTTGCGTCACGTACACTTCAGGTGTCTGTTTGGCATTATAATGCATTAGGCGTTAATTTATTTCTGGGAGAAATTCTCTTGCCATTGGCCTTTCATCCATTTGATCAAACTTCACATTGGTACACCCTTGGTGAACGCGTAAGTTGGACTTTTTTATTGGTAATATTGCGGTTATATGTCTGTCTTCATGCTTTCCTACAGAGTATGAAGTCACTAAACTTAAAAATAACCCAATGTGAGCTCACTTTTAATGAGTGAAGGGTGGTATTATTTTCTGCGTTATACAAGCTTCTTTAGCCTAACTCTGATAGACTTCCATATAAGGTGCTGTTTTTTCATTGCATATAAGTAAACATTAAATTAGTGTTCAATTATTGTAGGAACTAACGTTCTGGAAAAAAGGATTAGTCACTTATAGCATCTAAAATACCCCAGATACTGGTAACTTGACCTCCAAGAAAAAACAAACAATAAAAACTTTTACTGATGATAGACTCGAAAGTTAATGAAATCCCAGTTCCTGGAATAATGGGATAAAACGCAGATTTACTAGGCTCAGATGTGAAGCAAAACAAAAAGACAAGAACATATCATCGGACGAACACAATGAAGAATTTCTGGCAGAATATCTGAGCATATTCTAAGAAACTCGTATCTGAAAGGTGCAAAAGTGCCAAGTAGTATGATGGCTGGCCACCGGTTAGATAGCTGCTATGAAATTCATATATCAAAGCCCTTTAAGGTAACTGAAGTTCAAGACAGCTCCAGTTTGTTAAGTTTGGTTGGAGCGATCGCCATCAAACGATTACAGCCAAATTTATACCCCTTAAAGGAAACCGTTGTTAATCTTGCTTTATCCTGGTAAATATACTTTGTGTCATTTAATTGTATTTTTGTTAATTTTGTTATTTTAATTGTATTTTGTTTTGACGATATAATTTCCTATTCTAATTTCGCATTTTTTATATTCTTGACCAGACTCCTTTTTGACCTTTGTTTAACTAAATTGTTTTACCCCTACATAAGCGTGTTTTTGATTTTATGCCTCCATTTAGTTTGTAAGATCCGTTCGTAATTCTAGAATATTTCTTAATTATTTCTATGCATACTAACGAGCTTAACAACGTGTTTTATTCCTTTCCACTATGCTACTTAATCACGTGACATTAACATCCATCACCTTGATGATGATCAATAACTACAGTATTTGAATATTTTGTACATACCAATAGATATTAAACTGTTCATTGTTGTACGCAACTGAAAAGGATCGACAAAATATAGTGACGTCATTTTATCCTGCTCAATATGTTTCTGCTGTGTTTATTTCCGTCTTGTGTTTGCCTACCTACCATTAATTAAGTAGCATAAATATATAAATGAAAGTTTCGGCTAAAACCTTGTCAGAAAAGTTACCACAGGGATAACTGGCTTGCGGCGGTCAAGTGTTCATAGCGACATCACTTTTTGACCCTTCGATGTCGGTTCTTCCTATAATTGTGAAGCGGAATTCACCAAGCGTTGGACTGTTCACCCACTAATAGGGAACGTGAGCTGGGTCTAGACCGTCGTGAGACTGGTTAGTTTTACCCTACTAATGAGTACAGTAATCAGTGAAGTAACAGAAGTATAATCCATGTATCTGATCAATTTTTGTTTTCGATCTATGCTTGCATGAGCAGTCAGGACAGCATCTCCTATGATAAAACCAGATGGCGTTTGGTGCTGTTGCAACGACTGAGTCATTTTTCAACCTATAAATACTCTTGGATTTTTCATTAAACTATCTTAATCTGTATTAGTTAACAACTCAAATTAATTTTTGGAAAGTTGTGATAGTAACTTCCAGTGGAAAAGTTTGTTAGCAATAGTAGTGAATATCTGAAGAACTTAACATCTTCTACGGATGATCAAAGGAACATTGACCTATATGGAAATGTTCCTAATCCTGAATAAAATTTAGCCACAAAAAGTTTATAAGTTTTTTCGGTCACCATTGAAAACAATATATGAGGATTAAATCTTGAAACAAAAAGTTATATATATATATATACATATATTTGATTGGACACTAGTTAGTAACTAGTGTAATGTGTCTAGTCCTATCTTTGGTGCATAATGGATTCTATCAGTCAAGCAGTCAATACAGTCCCACAGAAGGTCAGTCGCAAGCCTGAATAGCTCAATGGTAATGTCTCTGACTGCAGCACTGGGTGACGCGGATTCAAATCTCAGAAAGGACATAAGTTCTTTCGAGGCTGCAGATACACCTTGCTGATGAGTGCCAGCTAGCACGAAACCTAAGTCAAGAGTAAGGCTTCCTGCCGATGGCCTCCTACCATCTAATGTATATATATATATATCATAATATCTTTATTTTGGACAGTATTTATTTAATGTACAGAATTCTCAGAGGAGTTTAATGCATGATATTTTCCCTCCGTACAATATCTTCACGTAAAATATTAATTGACAGTATATCCTGTGATACAGTGATCTCTGAGGTGAAGCACACACCATAACAGTATGACATATCTGCTTTGTCTCGTTCATGAAATCCATGATTTCTAGTTGGAAGTCAATTCTAAGAAGTTCAGCATTACATTTGGAGACCCATTGACATAACTCAAGAACAGTTATCTCATGTATTGGAACACGTTGCTATCCACAATCAGGCCTTTCCTCAAATTTAGTAGGAACTTGCAAATCAGAAACTTGTATACATTTTAAATACACACAAGGTCATATCTTAATCGATTAAAACGGAACGAGAGAAAATATACGCAGTAAAGAAATAGTAACACACACTTGTGCCCTGTACATTTCACCGAAGGTTTAGTCATTTAATTTATTGGTTTGAAAAGCATAGGATCTGAGGATTTTTTCTGAGTAATAGACTGTTTATCAGTTTTCCAGTTACTTTTTTAAATCAACAGTGATAAGATAGTGTTCGTCTACAAAAAATGATACATATACACTTCATGGATGTTTTCACCATATAATAATTGAATTTAATACCATTGCTTTGACTTCTACCATCTTGGCAAAACTAAAATCAAAGTGTTTTTTAAACTAGTCGTCTTTATATGACGGTTGTTGTTAAAATCTGAAAATTCCACTTATTTGTCAAGATCAGCAAGGAAAACTATTTTATTTGAAGCAGTTCAGTAGTAAATGTGCGTGCAAAATAAATTTAAAATTTCAGAAAGTTCTCATTTTCTTCAAACACATCAATGGAAAATGATCCACTCTGACTGTTAGTTATCCGGTGAACATTTTTTTGTCCCAAAGCTAATGATAATACCCAGCCGCTGACTGAAATTTGGGTGTTTAAGACTATCGGCCAAATATCTGTTCTTCATGACTGAAATAAAGGCTTTGCGAAAACCTTTAACTGATACAACATTTTGATGTCTTTTCTGCTTATAATCACTGAAAACTAGTTGTAAATTGTTTTTTACCCTATCCACGCAATCAATCTATACTATTACTACTACTATTTAGCGTGTCGTTCCCGCTGCGTCACACTTACAAATTCATCGAGGTGAAGTAGTTTTGGCTGTAAAACTTGTTCCAGGTGAGGCTGGCAGTGGTCTTTGCGAAATTCATGTGTGGATTAAATCTGCGAAAGGATTAAGCACATCAACCGGTGGGAAAGCTCCTAAAAAGGATAATGTTGACCCTTATGTTAAAATGTGAGTACTCGTAACATTTCGTTAACGTTTACATTACTTTTATTCCGAAGTAAACCGTTTATCTTGCCGTGTTTTTACTTTTTTTAATGATTTATACAACACAAACGTACGTCTGATGAGGAATCCACATGTATATAGATGTTCAGGATTAGGAAACACTATTTTACTAATGATAAGAAATTCTGAATAAAATACTATGAAGCAAAAGTCCAACTGGGTACATGCCCCTGGAAGAACTTTTGGACATTTTTTGTTTAACAGGATTCACCTACTAGAAACTGTCTAGAAATAGTTTACATACCCCAGGATTTTTAGACTATTAGACTTAGATTTGTTTCCAAGAAATTTTAGGATATGAAGTAGTAGCTTTGGAAACCAATGAATGTGTGCGTGGCTATTATTTTGCTGGATGGCCATATCTAGGAAGTTAATTTCTTATTAAAACACCTGAAATAGATTAGGCATTAGTTGAGGCCGGTCACACACAACCTGCTTGGTGTAGCGTTTAGAGTTATAAAACTTACTGCCTGTTTTGAACCACTGGAAAGAATATCGGGATGCGTAAATTCTGGAACTAAACTTTTCTAGCCCTTCCTCCTCAGAGTGAAAATGCAGTAAAGCTGACTAACCAACTTCAACAAATGAGCCTTCAAATCAAATTCACAACTTGCAAATTATCCGCGATTTGCAATTCACATAGTTCGAGGAGGTGAAATCTCACCACAGTTTCCTTTGGAAACTAAATTATTGAGATCACATTATGTGACCTGCTTGATACCATAAACTGTGATCAAGCGAAATGGCAGTCCCGTGTTTAGATTACCTCTATCTAGCTAGCAAGCACTACTGGTGGATGTGAATGGCATACAATTGCTTATTTCAACCAATCAGCAGTATACCTTTTTGTGCAAAAATGAACCTTGACTGACCCTTGTATCTGAATCCCTAAATTTAGTCGAAAATTGCGTATTTCACTAATTGTGAGATCTGGTTCCCTCAATGTAATACCAGCGAAAGTCCATGTGTTGGGACAACTCATGTATTTATTATGTTATGTGACATGAATCTAAACAGTAATGAGTACGCTGTAACCTTACTGTTCTTTGTCAAAAGCCATATTAGAGCACTGAAAGTTCTTAAACCTGTTTGTTTAACAACTTCTTATATCCTCACTAACGTAGTACCCTTTATTATATTTTATTATTTTTATGGTATTCCAGCATTCTTTTTTGTGCTTAACTGAGGAATTCTAATGACATTTTCTGAAATTCATAGATACTTGTTACCAAGTAAAGAAAGGAGTTCGAAGCAAAAGACGAAAGTGGTTAGGAAGAATAATAATCCTGAATGGAACCAGGCAATCATTTACAGGGATATACCGCTTACTTCTGTAAAAGATATCGGCATAGAAGTGTCAATTTGGGATCATGATCGCTTTTCATCAAATGATTTCCTTGGAGGATGTCGACTGAACTGCGGATCATGTAAGCTTTTAGTTCGTTGTATACTTCTTGATTCCATTTGTTAAGCATTCACATTCAGACAGTTTTGGTAAGAATGTATATTTGAATCCCTTTTGTAGGGAATTACCAGTTTCATTTTAACACATTTTGAAATCACTGAAGATACCCATTGAGTCATGAAGAAAATAAAAGACAATTCAGCGAAGAAAATTTTCTTTATCGACGAAATCATCTTCAGACGCTTTACAGTCGTATTTATATTTATCAGAAATGTATAGTAGTCTATTACTGAGTAATAGGGAGTGACATAATTGGTATAATTACTCAGAAGTGGCGTTAAAAGTAAAAACAAAAGCTGTAAGTTACGTAGTACTCACCTGCTCCTGTGGAGCTAGTTGTATTTGCTGCACAAAGCGCACACTTTCCAAACGCATCTTTGAACATTATGCGGCATGATTAGCAAAAGGACGATACAAGACAGTTACTAGCTTAATTCCCGGGCACTTGGTGAACTCAAGCTGCATAGCCCCATCAAGGTCGTCTCCAAAGCTTATCTACAAGGTGAGGCCAAATGGTACAAAGAGCGTCAGGTTTTGGCATTTGTGTTTGGCGGAGGCGTTGGTGATTCGTCAATACAACCCCTAACTCTGTATACAGAAAACGTTTGTCCAGTCTCTTATTCTACTGTGGTCTCAACCTCTTCACTATCCGTTTCCTGGAATTTTTTAATTTTCAATTTTGCTTCTAGTTTGCTTTTACTTTAATAATTAATTCAATATTATCACTCTCATATATTCCTTTTGTACATTTTCTCACCCTCTTCACACTTGTTAAGTTGACACTCAAATGCCTTCTTCTCACTCAATAAGAATTTTAACCTTATCAAATTTCTAACCCTTTCTTCCTTTTTGCCGTTGAATACTACGTAACTTACAGCTTTTATTTTTACTTTTAACGCCACTTCTGAGTAATTATACCAATTATGTCACTCCCTATTACTCAGTAATAGACTACTATACATTTCTGATAAATATAAATACGACTGTAAAGCGTCTGAAGATGATTTCGTCGGCAAAGAACATTTTGAAATCTTTTAAACTGATGATCCAGTTCCTAACGAGTAATCTGTACAGCGTAAACTTTAGAGAAAGTTACTCAAGAAATGCCTTTAAAGTCGTTTTTGAAATGATTAGATTCACCTCATTGTAGATATCCAAATAACCAATTAATTCCGAGGTCTCAAGTGCTTTAATATGACCAAAAGAGTTTCAATGACATTTTCATCAGAAAGAACAACTGGGATTAATAAAAGTGGCTAATACTATTTTCAGTTACATCTTTCATGTGCTTTACTTCAATGTACATAGCGTTATATAGATAAAATTGTAACCAATGAAGATGAATTTCTAAGCTAGTATGAGTGTCAAATGTTGCAAATTATACTAGTAATGACCATAATAATAGTAAATAATAACCACAGTGGTAACAGTCTTATGAGTTGTTGACATCAATGATGAACACTCTTAAGGAACTGAAACAAAAAGAAATAATCTCTGAGTCTGTTCACGAATCTCTTAAACCTATTGGAAATAACGAGTTACTTTTATATGGTCTGTCTAAGATACATAAACCAGGTCTGTCTTATATTAATTTGTTTGTTAGATATATCACACAGTGAAACAAGATTATTATACAGCCTTACGGCCTTTACACAAGCAAGTTATAACCTGCAGTGTGAATGATATCCTCGAACTTAGATTATTTTAGTGAGAATAGGAAGCACATGATATCCTTAGATGTTTCATCATTATTTATCAATATAACACTGATAGGGATATTGGAATTCATATGCCAACAGACTTTGGAAAAGCAGACTTATATTGGAATCCCAGTAATTATCCGTAGGAAATTCCTTCAAAGATGCTCTATTAACATTCATTTTAACTTACAATAACAGTGACTATTAATTAAATCGATAGTGTTGCCGTGTGTTCTCCATTAGGCTCAGTTTTGTTGGATGTTTTCGCCTTTAAATTAGGAAATTTTCCATTGAAACATGACAGAGATAAATCGGATTTCTTTCTTCATTATACTGATAAATAGTACTTTCATTACTGTTCTTAAAAAGCTGATAAGAACGAGACTCTAAAGAGATTTAATGACTTATATTC